ACCCACTTTGATGCATTTTTCAAATTTCACCTTGGGGCGGAGTTATCTTTTCACAGGGGGATAAGATACACTTTAAGACACTTCACTGTCCTTTGGATTGAAGGATGGCTGACATGTTAGGAGAAAGTTTGCTGGTTGAGACACGAAGGACTTCACAGAGATGGCTATCGGTCATTCTGGTTCTCAGTCTGCTTTTGTTCTGATTTAACAGAGAAAATGTTTGTTCACATACTGTATGTATGTTGAGCCGAACAGGCTCATCATTCTTTTTGCGTGGCGTCTGAGTTGAAAAATCTGAACTTTTGCTGCTCGATGCATCGCATCAACCAATCCGAGAGACTCATTTTTCCACGTGACAGTTTCCTGAATGTTGCCCACTAAACTGAAACAGACGAACAGGAGGTCTTTACCTGAAATCGACCATCTGCAGTTGGATTTTCTGGCTGGATATACAGTATAAGTGCCGATGTGGGTCAGCTAGTCCGGACAAAAATAAAATAAAAAGTCAGTCAGCTGGCAGCTTATGGAGCGGCGAAACTAACCGAACAAATCGCCTCTAAATCATCTGGTGAGTTAATTATATGCTGTGRGCAACATTAGCTTGCTTTTTAGTAAATAAATCAAAGCCATTTTCTTTATTTTATRTTTATTTCACCCGCCGAGGGCAGATGCTCCTCCTCCCACATCCTGCCGCTGCTGCTGCTTCTCTTTCTGGTCTGTCCAGCATCAAGATGTGTGCGTTCTTCTTCTCTTCTCTTCTTCTCTATAATTTAGTTTCTGTGGCTGGCTCCATCCAGTGTTGAAACTGAGAAGTGTAACGGAGACTTCTTGTGCAGGCCATATTCAATTATATTTTCAGAAATTGCTACGYGCCAATAAAAACTGGACCACAGTTTGGACACCCCTGTGTTAAACTGTGGTAACTACAAAAAAAAAAAAAAAAAGGATTATTTCACCAAAGTACGCAAATCACCTGGGGCTAAGAAGTTCCTGAACGTAGCAATACACTGATGTTAATCTAATGGCTGCATCGTTTCCAAGTCTCACATGCAAAATGAACATTTAGGCGTCACAAGGAAATTCTGGAGCTTCTGTATCTTTTTTACTAGAAAATATCTACCAGCAACATTTTTGATGACCGTTGACAAACCCAACATGTGTAAACTGTTGTGTAGTTTAAACTTGTGTGAAAAAAAAAAACATTACAGTCGCTGCAAATGATTGGCGTAAAGTTACTCTCATTTGTGTGACGAGCCCCCAGTCAGTGAGCAGCAGTAGCTGAAGACAAACTGGGCCAAGCAGCTCGGCCTCGACTGGAACCACAGCTCTCAAGGTTCCAGAAAGTGGGATGGACCTGGCTAATGCAAAAACACAGAACCTGGGTTTGAACCCCAGCCGGGCTGGGCCGGGCCATGCTGTGCAGCGCTAAAACATTTTGAGAGACTGAGAGTTGTAGAACTGAGGCTGAGTTCAGTGTTTTCTGTGTTCAGTGTAGCTTAACAGCAGCTCCTTTCACTGGTTTTATGGAGTTTTATTATTAAGGCTCTAAAAAGTGCACGAACCACCACGGCTCCTTTTTTTTTGCCTGCTGAGTGCAGTAGCTTGGAGGTGGCTGCTCACTTGATGATATGTGCTATCTTTAGAACATAATCCGTGGGCAACTCATGTGGTCCTGCCTGCAGGGACTGTGTTGGTGTACCCCTGTATCATAGTACATACATGAAAATGTACCAAACATGTACTGGTGATGTACAGACACAGCAGGTCCCTCTCACTATATGACATGACCTGACATGTGACCTGTCATCATTTGTCAGGCATATGAGAATACTGCTGGTGCCCTATTACAACCTGTCAAGTTTTTAAATGGTCCATTTCAACACATTGTGGGTCCATTTGAACAAGGAGCTTATGACTGCAGGTTAGTTGATTATTTCAGTAAACGGCCTGAAGTAGCATTTATCTTAACTCTACTAAGTTAGCTAATGCTAATTTGTGTTTTAACATGAAACAGAAACCTTTTCAGCAAATGAGAATAGTTCACATCTTCTGCTTTTGCGGACTGAGTGCTGACATCAGAGCAAGTGTTGACCATCCTCAATCAAACAAATGGTCGTAACTCTTTGACTATATTCAGGAAGCACAAGCTACACAACCACCATGGAAGCCTGGACTTACTGACATGTTTCCCAGCTACAGGCCTTCACCTCGTGCTACAACTGGTGAATCTCCTCCTGTCCAACCTCCAGCATAGGTTAGCATGTTAGAGAAGAAGTGGCTGCAGGATACACAAACATGAAGACAAGAGCCAAACCAACCAAAGTCATTGTTAGGTTTACAGAGTGAAGAAGTCTTATCTATGGGGAGCCATTTGTAAAGTTACACAGTCAAAAATTACCACCAGTATTTTTGTTTTATTTAGACTTTTATAAGAAAAAAAAAGCAGATTTATTTTTCAAAGTCAGTTTTTCACCATATGAT